GAGTCTGCAAGAGACCTGAGACTGGGACGGAGATTTATCTTCCAACAAGACAATGATCCAAAACATAAAGACAAATCTACAATGGAATGGTTCACAAATAAACGTATCCAGGTGTTGGAATGGCCAAGTCAAAGTCCAGACCTGAATCCAATCGAGAATCTGTGGAAAGAGCTGAAGACTGCTGTTCACAAACGCTCTCCATCCAACCTCACTGAGCTCGAGCTGTTTTGCAAAGAAGAATGGGCAGAATTTCAGTGTCTCCATGTGTAAAACTGATAGAGACATACCCCAAGAGACTTGCAGCTGGAACTGCAGCAAAAGGCAGCGCTACAAAGTATTAATGCAAGGGGGCCAAATAATATTGCACGCCCCACTTTTCAGTTTTTTATTTGTTAAAAAAGTTTGACACATCCAATCAATTTCATTCCACTTCACGATTGTGTCCCACTTGTTGTTAATTCAAGGGGACCGAATACTTTCGCAAGGCAATGTATATATATGTGTATATATATATGCGTGTGTGTATGTATGTGCATATGTGTATAGTTTAGTCATGAATGTAGTACTCCCTACCACCTTGTGCATATTTGTCTTTTTCAAATTTGTGTATTCTACTTCTTTTTGAGTACTCACATGTATTTTTTGTATAATTAGTGAATGGATGCCTCATATTTCCCCCTGGGATTAATAAAGCATACATGATCCATCCATCCAACCATATCATCCAACAATCCATTCATCCATCCATCCACCCAACATAATCCAAACATCCATCCATCCATCCATCAACCATCCATCCATCCCTAACCCAAACCATCATTCAACCATCCATCCATCCATCCAACCATCCATCCATCCAGAACAGGCTACATGATCACAACAGGCAGTCAGATTTGCAGTCGTCCAGAGTAAAGCTGTGAAAGGACTCCTCTCAGCTAACAGTGTCATTTTACGGTTGCTTTGGCCGATGATCCTGCACTTGAATTTTCAACTTCCAGCCTGAAAACAGTCCTCATCTAAACAAATTAATAAAAAATTAACATTTTGTTTGTTACCTGAGAGGTCAAACTTGTTTCTGCTGTTCCAGCCATGGCCTGGCAGGTCATGTTGCCTCGAAAAGCTGAGTTGATGGAGTTGAACAAACTGGACTTGCCAGCCCCAACAGCACCCACCAACAGCACACGAGCGTGATTCATGGTTTTTATGTCAGGTTTATACCTCAGGATGGTTGTCATCAGCTGTTTTCTCTTCCTGTAAGAAAGCAAATTATATAAATATTTGCTTATATATATATTTATATATGTACAAAGTATATACAGTGTATATATATTGTGCCGCTCAAGGTGGCTGCATGTTGGAGCAGCTCTGTTACTTTTATTCTGAGATTTTGCTTTTGGAAACTTTAATTTCTCTTTTTCTGGAAGTAAATCACAGTTTTTGGATGATTGTTTCCTCTGGTATCAGATACTGTGCAGCTGGAAGTATTTTTACTGAAACTTTTTTAGTTTTGGACATTTGTGTAACCATGGCAACAAGGCAGTTTTCTACAAATCAAAGCACTTTAACATTTTACACAACATCCCACAGACCAAACAACCTTCAGATAACGTCCCCCACCCCCGTCAGCCTCCCCACCATCACAGACATCTACACCTCCAGATGCAGGAAGAGGGCCACCTGCATCATGAAGGACGCCACTCACCCAGCACACACACTTTTTGCCCCGCTCCCCTCAGGAAGGAGGTTGAGGAGCATTAAGTGTAGAACCACGAGACTGAGGAACAGCTTCTACCCTGAGGCTGTTAGACTCATGAATCTCTAACCAGAATAATCACTGTGAAAAATCACATCATGCTGCTGCTGATCTGTTTCATGTTGCTGCTGATCTGTTTCATGTTGCTACTGATCTGTTTCATGTTGCTGCTGATCTGTTTCATGTTGCTGCTGATCTGTTTCATGTTGCTGCTGATCTGTTTCATGTTGCTGCATGTAGTTGTTGATGTAAAATTTACAATAAAATCTATGGTTTTGTAGGAAAGTTCAAATATTGCAAGAAAAATTTGTCTTCTTGGAAGAAGTTAAAAGAAAGTGAAGGTAGTTTGCGCAGTTTTGGTGTTAAAATGTAATATTTAAAATTCAACTTAGATTAAATAAATGTTTGTCAGCGCTACGTACTCAGAGGTCCACTGAATGTTTCTCCAGGGCTTCGGCAGCAAATCTCCCAAGTCTAGACGTAAACAAAAACAACTTATTAAATAAAAACCTAAACCCTTTTTTTTTTTATTTCACAATAAATGATTTTTCTATTAGGTATAAAAACACTAATAAACCTTTTTTTACACACACAAAAAAATAAATGCAACTTTATTTGTTGATACTTCCTTGAATATTATGATTTTGTTTTTTTTAAGCCCACCTTCAACTCGATACAGCTCAAACTCCGTCAGCACCAGGTCATATCCGTGCATCTCTGCAGCCTCAACGTTAAAGCTTGTGCTTGGATTATTCTGCGCTGCAGGCTGGTCTCCATGCAGGAACACCAGAGCACCAAAATGTGGACCTGTGCTTTCATCTATGAAAGCAGGCTGCCCTTGGACACATTCAACCCTCAGAGGTTTCTCTCTCTCAGCACTGATGCTGTAAAGAAAAGCTGCAGCATCATGGACAGCCTGTTTGCTCTGGGCGTAGTCCTTGGAGGTGTAGCCCCCAAACAGAAACCCAGCAGCGTTGTACGCCACAGTGACAGTGGGCCCCTGCTTGTCACAGCGAGCGTGGAAGGCAGCCGCTGTGAAGCCGTGGATGCTGGCTTTGTAGAGCAGGTGGAGTCTGACATGGCCGAAGAAAGACAGCAGCTTCTTCTGCTGATCTGTGGACAGGCTGGATGTGACCGCTGACATGACAGAGATCAGAACACACATGAGGACACACAGAACAATGTTACTTTCCTAACAGAAAACTTGTGCTGTGATGAGGAATTTGATAGTTTCCAAAAAATTAAAAAAACTGAATAAAGTGTAAAAAAAAAAAAAAAAAAAAAGTAACCCACTTCAAGGTATACATGTCAGTAGTCTAGGTTTGTAGGAGCTGTGATGTAGTGCAATAACCAAACACACAGGTAATTATGATTTTTTTTGTGAAGTTTTAGTCAAAATATTTATAATGTAAAGGAAGGGGTCCTCAAAATCGTTGAATTTTGATTAGTAATTTTATTTTCAAAGGGGCATCACTTGCTTTCCGGTTCTTAAGCAAGAAAAATATAAAAATCAGTCTTGAAATGTATTTATTCTAGTGAGTTCTTTTCGTGTTAAATTCAGATGTCATATAATAAACGCATGGATTCAAAAGTACAATTTTGTGATGGTTATTATTGATAATGGTAAATATAAGTGCTCAAAAATGATGAATACAGCTGAAGAAGGAACAATTTACATATTCAAGGGAGTGGGCAGAAGTATGAAGTTATCAAAATGTCCACTCCTTAACCACTTACATAATCTTACATTACATGTATAATCCATACATATAACAACTAAGCCCATATTTAACCCTTCAAAATAATATCTATTTAAGATAACTACAGTAAATAAACTATTATTTCTATAACTTCACAAAAAAAAAAAAATAGCATCAATAACAAAAACACTATTGTGATGGCCAAACCCATGGCCACACTATAAAGTCGGTAACTCTTACATGCACCATTTGTTTTTCATCCAAACACAACACTTTAGTTTGCAATAAAATGTTTATTGGTTGGTTTAGATACATTTGTTATATCTGTAAGTGCGCACATTTAGTTTACTTATGTATTTATTTCAACTCGTTGTTCATTTTTTTTTTGTGCTTGTGATTAATTCTTGTTTCTTTTACCAGTTCTTACCTGCCGTGAACCCTGAGAGTTGCCAGATAAAAGATGGTGGAGAGGGCTTAGCACACTTAAATACATGGAGCTGATTGGACTGCACCACCAGTTCATGCTTGAGAGGGGAAACTTGTATTTTCTTTATTTAAGAAAAGAGCTTTTGTATTTAAGTGAATATTTCTATTTAAAGTTTAATATATTTGATTTCCATTTTTGGTGTTTAGTTTATTATCAAACTTAGCTGTACTGTGTTGGTTGTTGTAGTTAGCGACTGTATTCTGTTTAGTTACCCCTATTGTGTGTTAATGGTCTGATCAGCCAGTATATATACACCCTGTGTGTCTTATTTTTTTCATGAGGTCAGTTATGTTTGTTTGTACAGACAGTTTGTTCACATTTTTTGCCTGAGTTCAGTTTTGTTCCTTTGACTTCTTTTATGAGCTCATTCTTTTTTTTTTTTTTTTTTTGTAAAGCATTATCTTTTGGTGTTACAATAAAAACCCTATTTTTCTAATACTTCCTGTGACTCCTCTTGCTTTTCAACTCGGTCCATCACAACCAACAACAAGTGAATAATTATATATATATGTATATATATATATATGTATATATTATATCCAGCAATAATCATATGTTTATGCTAATTTGAACAGTTTTATGTTTGGACATTGTTTAAGTTCAATACTCAAATTATTCCACAGTTTGACTCCACTTACTGATACACAAAAGTTTTTTCTAGTAGTTCTGAATTTGCATATTTTAAACTGTGATTTCCCCCTTAACTTATAAATTTGCTCCTTAGTCTTAAACAGGTTTTGAATGTTTTCAGGTAATTGTTTATTTTTGGTTTTGTAAAGAATTAGAGCTGTCTGTAGTTTCACTATGTCAATGAACTTCATTAATTTAGATTTTATAAATAGTGTGCTTTCTAAATATCCCACCTTATGGATTATTCTTATTGCTCTTTTTTGTAGTATTGCACAATAACTTAAATAAGGTAAGATTAATGAACAGTAGAGTGCATGTAATGCTTGTTGTTCTATGAACAACTTGACTTTAAGAGGATATTTCTTGTGACTGAACACATCTATTCTAGTTGAGTTTATGACATTCAATTATTTTTATGACAGTTGAATTTATCATTATTTGACATTATGCTTCATGCTTAATGCTGTTTTTTTTTACATATTCAAAAAATAATAAACTAAAACTGAGCAATTAACAAGTTGACAACACGTAAAGAGGTTATGGAATCTCACTTCTAAACTTTAATATGGTGAATTATGAGGTTCAAAAGCAGAGTAAATTATCATCTATAAAGTTAACTAAAGGAAGTGTTTTGGCTAGATGTACTTTGTCAGTTTAGGCTTTTAAAATAACTTAATTTTAATGAATATAATAATGATGATATCTTAATGAATTTTATTTAGACTGGACAGCTTCTTATCTCTGACACCAGCAAAGGAATGAGCAGCTTTTCATACCCATTTGGAGTTCAAGTTCAACTGGTTACCAGGAGGAGACTCTCTTTGAGATGATTTGAGCGTCGAAGGTGGGATTCCTCTTGTCACTGGACATCTGTTGAAACATGGAGTTGATGGGTCAGTTGATGTGTCCTTCGGAGGGCTGCGTTTTCTCCTTCTGGTGACAAGGAACCTTTTGATGCTTCCTTGAAGTAGGAGACAAGTCTCTGGAACAACTTGTCTCACTTTGTCTGCAGGGAACTTCTTATCTTCTGGAATAATTTTCAATTGCTTGATCTTTCTTCTTCAAAAGCTTCCCCCAAGACTGACTAAAACTAAACGTCAGAATAACTTTCTCTGACGTAGAGGGCGTAAACACAGTGATGGTTGATCCAATCAAAACTGAAAGGGTGGACCTCTGTTTCAGGTTTCTGCTCCATTTGAACTTTACCAACAATATTAAGAATAAATAGCTAATTTACAATGCTTTGGTGAATACTCTGTATAACAGCAGGACATTTAAGGCTTCTAATCAGTTTGACTCATCAAGTGAAATTATCATAGACATTTTCATTGGAACTTGTGCAAACCAGAGTTTAAGCTTCTGATCTCCAAGGTTTTTCACATCCACTTTCTCTTATGCATGATCAGTTTGAGTACTAAGATGAGAAAAAGAAAACAAGCTATTTCATAGTGGTTTTACAGAAAAACATTCAATTGTGTTAAGGAGAATTTAAAAAAATGAGTTGTCCACAATAAAATTCTACCGTGGGATGGCGATGTCCTACCTTAGATTTAATTCTACCAAAGAGTCCTTGAGGAACAATAGGGTGGTTCTTTCCCACACTCTGAGACTGTAGGAAGAATCCTCCCTTTTAGGAAGAGATACGCATAACGCTCAGATGTTACACTGCAAAGGTCAGATGGAAAAGTTCTCATAGCCTTTCAGCTTAGCTGAGATCATAATAACAGGTGTACAATTAATTACAATAACAAATTTTTGTTTTATATGTATATATATATATATATATATATATATATATATATATATATATATTTTTTTTTTTAAACATGGTTTCTTCCTGTCTGGCTTTGGGAATGAGAGTCATCCTTACTTTCAGAGTATCAAAATAATAAAAGTTTTTGATGTGTCCCTAAAAGAACAATACAAAAGAACATACAATTTTTACCTGGGCCCTTTTTAACTAAGGCAATACAGAAAGTGTCTAGGAAGCTTATTATTCTTTCCTGTAAATGGTTGCTCCAAATTTGCTCATTGTTTAAAGTCAGTCATAAAAGTCGAGGAGAAATAGTGAAAGCATGAGTAGAGGTTCCTTCCAGTGTGCTTCTTGAGGTAAACTCTCAGTCAGAGCGACTGGCACAATCCTGCCACAGACAGATTATAGGGTTCTGCCTCGTGGCTTGGTGGCGATTCTGGATTCAAGCTGGGACGCTCTCCATCTAGGGTCGGGCGTTGTGTGAATTTGAATTCCGGTTCCGATTTCTAGTTTCGATTCTGGTTCCTGTTGATTCTTGACTATTCTTTTTAGAGACGGTGTCCAAAAAAGTTTATATGGTTTAAATAAGCTAGCTAACCAGAGTTCTTTTGGATGAAATAATTTGAACTTCTCTTTGAATTTTAATTCTAGGAGCTTTTTACTTTTCATTAATTTTACTATGGATTTCTCACAGGGATATGTTCAACCAGTGTATAAATATCAAACTTGAACATAAAAGTTATCAATTTTCTTTTCACAGGGGTACCCTTTCACAAGAGAGCTTTATGTTTGAAACACATTTCCACATGTCCAGTGTGTGATGCTGCAGCCATGTTACTGAGCTCCCACTGATGGGACAACCTGCTGCAGAATGTCAAACAAAAAAGAACAACTTGTACAACCCCGTCCAGATTAGCAGCAGGTACAGTATAAAGTCAGAAACAATTCTTGAGGAGAATGATCACATCTGCTTCTCAGGCAGTATGTGTGAGTGTTCTGGACAGATCGTGCCTCCTGCAGTGGAGACCCCTGTTCTAGATGTTGCTGTACTTTTCAGGCCTTGTTTTTTTTATTTTTTTTTCCATTATTTATTTATTTTATTTAACCAGGCAAATCCCGTTATTAGTGACTCCTTCAGCCAAATCTTCCTCCACACTTCCGAACCCCAGCTATAATTAACTTATTCGTCTGACTTTCAGTCCCCATCTGTACATCATCCTGCAAAGAAGAATCCCAGCAACTCCAATCTCAGCCACTTTAGCATCTTGCTAAACATTTTCCACTTCAGTTAAATTTCATGATGCAGGGTTTTTACTGTTTTCTACACTTATTGAGCTAAGTGCTGAGTAGCACTTATGTATCATGGATGAGTTTAAGAACCAGACCAATTAATATCTGAAAAGAAAAAAGACTTATTTGTGGCCATTTTAGAGTTTTCCAAGGTCTGTTAGCTGTGGAAGCCATCTTGAATGGCGTTGGCTGCAGTAGTAATTGGTTATCGATGCGCGGCTACTGATTATTTTTTTGAAAGTTTCAATAAAAGGGCCTTGCTCATGGGCCCAGAGTGGGGCAAA